ATTATACATGCATTTTTCACAAATCAAAGTATTAACAAATTTGTATTAAATAAAAAAATTTATCAAAGATATAATTTTGTGTTGTAAAAAACAAATTTAATAGTTTTTTTTTCACAATTTTAAATAAGTATTTCTAAATCATAAGAATTTTAAAACGATTAAAAGTAGTGTGTTATATATATATATATATATATATATATATATATCTTACATAAAATCAGTATAAAATTTAATAAAAAATTATATCACACAATTAAGTAACATATATTAATGTTGCATCATTGCAATTATAATTAGGATTTGCTAATAATCCAGAATTTATTCATTTACAGACAATCCGATCAACTCCATTTAATTGTATAGTTAGTCAACATAAAAGAGAAATTCCATATTAATTTAGAACATTACACTATAAACACATTATAATATTTGTTAGCAACTCCATCTTAAAGAAATCATTGTGAATTGAAAATAGACAATTAATTAAAAATCGAAATCAATCTCTCATAGAAAATGTAAAAGATTAAGAGACCGGGCAGGAAAAATCTGATTTGTCAGTAGGGCCGACGACGTGTCGCGCTACTTTTTCGTGTCTCACCGCCTGCCTTAGCATTTGCCTTGCGTGTCTGCAGGACCAGGACAGGTCACTTCCTTCAAACTTTAACGAGAAGGATCAACAGGTGCCTCGAGGGTTCGTCTAGTCTCACGGCTAGCGTGATCCTTTTTTAATCTACACCGGCCGAATAGTGGCTGCCGATACGAATTAGCTTCGACCTAGGCTTACGTGGTCCTGAAGGTAAAAAAAGGATAAAAATTGCGATATATTAAAAACGCGAGAACTCCGAAATCAAATCGGTGCGCGGGATTAGTTTTGTAAAACTTTTCGCTTATCATAGAGATTACATAACTCGCCTATCAACGACAGCGCAATTCGATCGTTTAATCCTCCATGCAAATCTATTTTGTATAATAAAAATTTTGTAGAAATATTTCAATATTTGTTTCTGTCAAATTTTTATAATATCGTCTTTTGAGAGATACATTTCAAGGTGAACCGAGTTTCATAAGTCGTACTAAAGTAATAAACAGCCCTAAGGTAATAATAAAAGCGACGAAGATATTAAAGGGTAGTGGTCACATTTACGTAAATCAAGGGTTTTCTATAGATTTGTTTCCGAGAAATCTCCGCGTATGTATCACCTTGATCTGTATATTGCTTCGTTTGTGTATTACGTATGTGCGAAAATTTATTCGACTTCTCTCAAAATTATGAATATCAAAAGTCAAATTTGTAGTAAGGATGTGCTCGTTGACAAATGTAAGTCATTTTCTTCGCGATAGTTTAATCAAAAGCAGGTTAATGAACGGTTTCAAACTTTAAAAATTTTTGACAATATTAATTTTTACTACACACGCACAGAAATATCACAATTGTGATAGATATAACATATCTCGAGGAAACTGCATATCTCTATGTGCATGTGTAGTAAAAATTTATCTTGTCAAAAATTTTTAAAGTTTGAAACCGTTCATTGATCCTGCCTTTGATTAAACTGTCGCGAAGAAAATGGCTTTACATTTGTCAACGAGCACATCCTTGCTACGGATTTAACTTTTTTATGTGACATCATATGTTTATAGCATGATTGCGAAACGCATATTGTCATCGTCGTTGAACGCGATTCTCATTCACGCCACGATGCGAATTTACACTCGATGGATTCCATTGGCGAGAGATTGGCTGATAGAGTGCACCGGGCAGATTGAATAAGGTACTGTGATACGACACGTTGAGATCTGGGAGACTGCCCCACTTACAGCAAACTGAATAACGTTGCTCAGCGTGGCGCTCACAGAATCTCGAACAAATCTTTTAAAGGGTCATGCTTTTTTCTCTTCAAACGTTGTTAAGTTTCGTTTACAGCGATCGTTACTCACTTTGCGTAGTAATTTATCGTTTGAAAGCCAGATATATGCATAATTGTGATAGAACGTATCTCGAGGAAGCTGCATATCACTGCACGATTATAACATGATGATGTGCGCAATTATTTGGGAAGTAACAGATATGTTATCATTTGGCATTAATTAACAATTAATCGGTTTAAGCGTGATGTGAATTTTTTTCTGTTATATTATTAAATATAATATAAAACAAATCGATTTAAATATTTATTATTGCACATTTTGCACACATGTATATAATGTATCTTTAAATATCTTGCATGTTCAATTCTCGTTTTACATGTTTATAACAATTTTTGAGTATTGGATAATCGATTATATTAAAATTACATTACAGAAATATAAAAATTTTTGTAATAGCTTTTTAACGAATTTAGCATTAATTTTGATCATCCGACATATTATATCATCGCGAATCGAAGGAATGGTTTTCTGTAAGAACAAACTTATGAAAAAGGATAAATCGTGCGACGGGTAGCATAAGAATAAAGAGGATTTATCTCGCTTGGAAAATCCCTGTGATCTAAGAAGCAAGCTGGTAATATCACACTGAATCTCTATTCCCGCCGAATCGAATATTCATCTCGGTAACTGGAAGAAGGGTGGGAAAGAGGAAACTTTCTACAATTGTTTGACTAATTTACGCGATATATCTGTGCATATGATGCATATTAGGAGAACAGCAATGCCATTTCTCCTCGGAATACGACCGAGTTTTAAAGAGAGTTTTTCTTCTTAAAGCGCACAATTGTGAAACCTATCCTCGAGAGTTTGTTTAAGTCGTGAAACAAGGGCGGATTAAGGTGTGCACGTAAAAAATAAGTATAAGGTTCAACTTATACTTATACTTGTACAAACTTCCTTGAGTTTCGTATCTGCCGTCATCTTCAAAAATAAAATCTCCCGAATTCTACATATATTGTTTTACGCTACTGGATACGAGATCCTCAGGGATTATAAAAGAAGAATTCTCGAGATGGGCAAAAGGGCACGAGACAATATTTTGTAAAATACAGTAAGATTCAAAATACGAAATTTTTAATAAACTTGCTTCAGATTGAATTTGTTATGCAGTTTTACAGTGTTAAATATAATATTTCGGTGTAAGCATCAGAAGAAAATGACAGGAAAATCTCGGATACGTATGACCTTGCGGTAGATGTAACATAGCTCGACGAAGTTGCATATCTTTGCATGATTATAACACAATGATGCAAATTAATGATTCAAGTATAATTATTTGTGAATTATTTTATATTACGTTATTATAATTTAAATATTAATGCACATTTTGTAAGATGTACAAACTTATATCTAAATATTTCGCACAATTCTAATATTTTATCTTAAATAACAATTTTTGAATATAGGATAAAATTCAGTATGTTATATTAAAACTATATCAAAATATAAAAATTTATATAAAGATTTATATAATAATTCTTTTTTAACAAATTTGACATTAATTTTAATTGTCCGATGTATCATCACGAATCGATGCAAATGTCCACTTTCCACCATAGCGAACATTTGTTCTTTCAAAAATCATGTTACATGAAAATATTTGCATAAAACACGCAGATTTTTATATTAAATGTCTTTGTTTAAATATTTTTGTATATTTGTACAGTTGGAATTTTTTCTGGGTGTTATATCTAGGTAGGGTGGATCACAGAATTGCAAAATAAGAACATTTTAATGTTGTTAAATTATACTGCAGTTAATAAACTTGCAAATGAATATATTTTAATTTAGTTGTAGGCACAATTAATTCTCTTTTTTTGTAAACAATAAACGATTTCGAAAAAAAATGCAGCTTTTTTTGGTTATGTAAGTTACGAAGCGTATGAATAAAAAGCGATGATCAAAGAGAATTGCGCTATCATATAAAATTAACCGCCGTCGTTCTTAAAGATTTTTTCCGGGGATTAAAAACTCGAGGAAGGCGCTATCGAAGATTCGTTCGCGCGAAGTTTAACACGAGATGGCTTTAAAGCGACATTGATGTACACCTTAAGAGCAGAAAAATAGGTCGAAAGGGTAGTGTAGGGATAACGAAGAGGAGAAATTGCAGGCATCGATAAACACTTTGCCATGCCGGGAAAGCCTGATTGGCGTATCGCCAAAACATAGACTTTCTAGCTACGATAATGCGTGCTTTTTCTTCGATCCAATGTGCTTCCTACGAAATTCATCGCCCCTCTCCCCCCC